ACAGACCTCACTGGTGAGATTAAATTCTGACATACTTCAGATCTCAGCTCAAGGGCAGTTTTCCTGACCTTTCTGTCTAAAGTAGAGCCTTCTAGCACAACCTCAGCATAATCAACACTCTTTTCTGGCACTTACCACTGCTGTGCTGTTATATTTACTTGCACAACTACTGATTAATACTTGTTTACCTCCACAGACTTCAAGCTCCACAAGAGTCGAGTTTGTGTCCAATTTTATTTACCATTTTGTCCCCAACACATAAAAGAGTGTCAGTAATAGGCATTCAATAAATGTACTTTTAATGAGTACATTTTATTTTAAATATTAATTCCTTTAGTTATTTTCCTGTGAGAAATGAAAACACACATCCACACAAAGACTTGTATGCGAAGGTTTATAGCAACATTTTTTCTTTTTCTTTCTTTTTTTTTTCTGAGACACGGTCTTGCTATGCAGTTCAGGCATAGCAAGAATTCACTTTGAATTCACTTTGTAGCCCAGGCTGGTTTTGAACTTGCAACGATCCTCCTGCCTCTGCCTCCCAAGTGCTAAGGAACCTCCAAGAATTTCCAAAACAAACTTGATCTCAACATATTTTTCATGTACCACCACACCTGTTAACAGCGCTATTCATAATAGCTCCAAAGGAAAAATAATTCAAACACTCGAGTGAATGAATGAACAGAAGGTATCATAGGCATACAATGGAATAGCATTTAGCCACAAAAAAGAATGAATTACCAAGTGGGTACAATTAACAAATGGAATAATATGAATAAACCACAAAATTATATGTGAAATAAGACCGACATATGAGTATATATTGCACAATTCTGTTTATACGAAATTTCTATACAAGGCAAAATTACAAAGAAGAAAGCAAATTAATGGTTACATGGGCCTGGGAGTAAGAACTGACTGCAAATGGTATGAGGGAATTTTGGGAGGTGACAGGAATGCTCTAAAACTAGATTGCGGTGTATAGGTTGTACAACTATATAAAGTTGCTAAGCATCATCAATTTGCACACTTGTAGAAGGCAGATTACATGGTATGCAAATTATAACACAATAAAGTGGCAAAATGTTTTTAAAAAACCAATTCCTTACTTAATCATTTTATCTCAACTTATGTTTTGTGGAACATTTTATCTTCAGGACACTGTACGAGAGACTGTTAGTTTAGTCTATCAGTTCTTTAGGACACACTCAATTTTTAACGTGGTGCATAGAAAAGAAAAATGAAGTACTATATTTCCCATCCTCCTTTGCATCTTGCTGTGGCTATGGGACCAAGTTCTGGTCAAGAAGATGTAAGCAAAAGTGATAGGCAGTGTTTCCAGGAAGCCTATTTAAGGGATTCAATCCCACTTTTTCTATTTTGCCTTGCCTTTTCCCTTTCAAGGACATGCAAACTGGTGCTGTACAGTCACTATGAACTTTGAAGTGATCTTGAGATTGAAGACTAAGAATGGTGGAGCCAAAATATTGAAGTATGGATTCTAAAGATACTACAGAGCTTTCAAGCCACTTTAGGACTGCCTCTTTCTCATATTTATTTTGTGGAAGACAAACAAACCTAATCTTAAATAAAATCAATTCTAATAGCTAATAGGTAAATGAAAACAGAGTTCTATGGCTAAATCATTTTGAGAACTCTTACACTAAGGCAGTATTTTGGTGTATGTCTGGATGACCTGCAAAGTGTCACGGAGGCAGGTTTTTCAGAGCTGGCGGAATCTAGAGTTTGTGATTGGTTCATTGTCTAGCTAGGATTGGGGGTGTGAGTATATAATAGCCTGTATATAAGGGAGGAAAAGAGGCTTGCTCCTCTCCTTTTGCACTTGTTGCTTTTGCTGTCTTCTGCCACCATAAACCATTGTCCCTCTGCCATACCACCCTGCCCTGGAGCCAGCTGACTGTGGCCTGAAACTTCTACAAACTGTCAACTAAATAAATCTTTCCTCTCTTAATTTTGAGCATCTAACATTTTGTTTCAGCAATGAGAGAGGAGTAACAAAGCCAGGCAGTGATGGCAAACCTTTTAGAGTTCCCAATGATACACACAGCCTGCTGTAGCAGTGTGCCATAGGTTTTTCTGCCACTGCACCAGGGTTTAGTAGATTTCATTAATGCAGGACCACTCAGAGTTCCAATTAAGTAACCTCCAAGAATTTCCAAAACAAACTTGATCTCAACATATTTTTCAGTGACCATCTTATGGGATGAATAATTTGGAAAGAGGATACATTATTTTAAGAAAAATCAGTATTTTGGGATCTTCTATCATCTTAATCTCCCTCTTCCTCCTCTCCTTTTCCTCTTCTTCTAACTCCTTCTTCTCCTCTTCCATCTCCTCCTCCATGTCCTCTTCTTCCACCTCCTCCTCCTCCTCCTTTTCGTTCTCCTTCTTCCTTTAAAAAAATTGTTTTGAAGAGATGGGGTCTTGCTATTTTGCCCAGGCTGGCCATGAACTCCGAGGCTCAAGCAATCTTAGTCTTCAAAGTAGCTGGGACTGTACACTGCCACCATACCCAACTGGCACTCCTTTTCTAATTCATCTTCTCTGTAGGCAGCTAGGAAAATCTTTCTTAAACATAAAGCTGATGATATCACATCTTTTTTTATTTCCTTAAACGATTCCTATAGGATAAATTTTAAACTCCTTTATGCAACATAAAAGAAGTCTTTTGTAATCTGGCCTTTGCCTTTTCTCTAGCCTCATTCTAGCCATCTCATTTCCTTCTCACTTCATGAACTTTTGGCAGTGCTGAGAACTGATCGTGCTCTCCCTAGTCCTTTTATCTGCTACACCTTTGTGGACCATGTTCTACTTCCCACCTGGCCTGATCCTAATTCTGCCTCTGATCCTTTAAGCCTAGATTCAGGTATGAGCTGATTTGCAGTCATACTTTGAGCAATGCCCACTATGTGCCAGATCTTACACCAGGGCGAATATAATCCCTGCCTAAGAGGGGCATGGGATCAAATGAAGTCAGGCAAGTACTATATTATGGTATGCTAAGGCCACAGCAAATGACCTTCACGTCATCTCAAACTTCGGCCTTCATTTTAGTAACTTGGTACCAAAAGCTTATTTCTTATTCACAACATGGATCAATTCAGGTACCACTCTTCAATTAGCCAGGGACCCAGATTCATGCTATTGCTATTTCCAGGACCTCCACATTAAAGATGCTCATGGTCTAATGGAGGACACAGACAAGTGAACAGAGGCAAGAAAACAAGAAGAAATGGCCAGGAGGGTTACTTCTTGTATTTGTGGAGCTACTATGAAAAGGTTCTAGAGCTGCTAGGAGCTCTTCTGTGGCTCCTTTCAGAAGCCCCACAGATCATTTTTCTGGGGCTCCTTGCTGATGGGAACATACTCTATGGTACAGAAGTTTATGCATCACTGGCATCTCCTCTTCAATAGACCTTCAGAGTCTCATAGTATCAGCTTTTCTTGTTTCACCAGCTGCTTTGGCATCCAGCTCTGTGGACTCCATTTAATCTCACACAGTCGCGTCTGACAGCACTCTGCCTCGTGGCCCTGACATGCGCCTCTCGATAGGGTTCATCCTGGCACTGTTTTGAAGCCCACTTGGCATCTAGGTATGAACAAATTATATGAATCTTTAGCCAATGAGCAACAAGGTAGTGGATAAATTTCCTTCCCTTTCTCCTCCCCTACAAACAACACTGAGGCTCATTTTACATGGCTTCTCCATTCTAAGTAGAAGCAATTAACCACACCTAGGAGAGGTGAGATTAATAACTATCCTGGTAATTAGCTTTCTTCCCTACTTGACACTTTTGCCTCACTCTTACAGTACCGAATCAGGCTCTGATTTTGACAACCCTAAAACTAGCAAAAAGCAGCTTAGCTGTCTCTGTTCTTCCCTGCACATAACACACCCTGTGCTTGGTCCTTGCTGACTGCTGCTTAAGTGCTTTAAGAGTCAAATTCCACTTAACCCTTTCAGTTCTGCAGACTTACTCTTTCAGCGTCAAGCTTATGGCTTCTCCTGCCTTTAGCCTCAGACCCTTCCTTTGTCCTTCTCAGCTGCACATCAATCAGGGACTCCTATTGATTCTTTGATGACCTAACAGTGTGTCTCTGTGTTTAACTTTTCTTGTGCTGCTGACTTTTCTCAATGTTTAAGAACAGCAATTACTGACAATTCTCCCTCCTGCACCTCTCCAAGCTGTCTTGTTTCTCCACACACTGTTCACTCTGGCTAGAGTCCCATTTCTTCCTCAACTCATTGACTAGATCTGCTCGCAGGCCCATTCCAGGTCTGAACCTGTTTAGCACTTTGAGAGCTCTGGAACCCTTGATTCTGGCACTTGGGCTGAGAAGGTTGTAACGATAACTACCTGGTCCTGCATCCACTTCTGCTGGCTGCATCAAGAGCTGGCTGGTAAGCTGTCCCTGTTGGGCATCAAGGGTGGGGGGACAAGAAGTTCTCAGTGTATTCACTCAACAGTTCCACAGGATTGGAGGTCCCTAGTGTTGATGTATAAATCTCCAGCTTGTCCCCAACTAGACTGTAAGTTCTTTAAGGATAAGAATGTTGTCTACCTTGCTTAATACTGTACTGTACTCATGTATCTAAAACAATGCCTGGAACACAAGTGGTGCTTAATAAATGTTTTCTTAAGGAAGAAAGAAAAAGAGGAGGAAGGAAAGATTGTGAGACATCTATCTTGGTCAGCGTCGAGTCACATGAAAGAAAAGAGTGTAGGGGAGTCCAATGGATTGGAAGGGGCTGCTACCCCTGTATTTTCAACTGTACAAATCTCTGCTGTCTGCCAAAAAATTAAGAAGACTTGCACAGAAGTCAGGGCCCCAAGCTGAGAGCCACAGGAAAACTAGGATTTGAAAGAAGCTAAAAATAATCTCTGGGGGGTGCAGTCTGGCTCTGTCAAATTATAGTTACACTTGACACACTCAAGCCACACACTCACCTTAACAGATTGCTCTTGGATTCATTAAACTTGGATCATTCCTGTTTTAATTAAAGTAAAATGAGACTCTAGTCCAAATCCAACCAGTTTCTCAGTGAGTATTGAAGAAGGACCCACGATAGGGCAGACAGGGGGTGAGGACAGAGGTAATCGTTAATTCTGAGTGGGAGGGGTAGTTATGAGATGCTGCGAGGAGAATTCAGCCATGCAGGGCAGACTCTCTATCCTTCCCTTCCTAATTGCTCCTTTCCATGACTGAACTAATTTCCTTCCTCCTTCCATTTATTTTCTGTGTGGCACTTATCACTAGCTGCCTTTTGTATTTATTTATTGTTTTTCTTTCACTTATTCTTTAAGAACAAGGGCTTTGTCCTATTGACTGCTGTATCCTCTGTCTTGGATCAATGTCTGGTATTTAGTGGGCACATAAAAATTAGCTGCTAACGAACGAATTAGGGAATACAATTAGTTGAATCTCTGCCATATGCTCGGCTCTGTCCTTGAGGATGCTACAAGGGTGTTGTCAGAGATAGGCCTGAAAATAAATATACCATGGCTCAATATCTAATTTTACGGAGGTATAGCCAAGGTGCTGCAGGATCCCCGGGGCTGGACAAGTTCCGCGGTGTGCAGGGTCTTGGAGCAGAAGCCAGGGATCCTGACAGCAGCAGGAGGTGTGACTGGAGACAGACGCCGCGGCTCACGTCTCTTCGCTTGGCCTCTCAGCATCGTTTCCGGACGTGCGGGAGCTTTGCCTCTCCTAGCAAATATCAGCGCGTCCTCAGCCCCCGCATAACCCCTCTGTCTTGGGATTCCGGTCACATCATCTCCCACCCCTGAACAAACCAGCCCCGGGTCTCCCAGATTGCTACCCTGCTACCTGCGAGACCTCCACCTGCAGGCCGAACCGCTGCCTCCGCCCCTACCAGCGCAGCCCAGGTCCCCGCCCCCTGGTGCGGTCTGCGGTGTCCCAGGCCCTGCCCCGCCCCCTCCGCCCCGGGGACCCCGGCCCCGCCCCGCCCCCCTGGCTCTACCTCTCTGTCCCCGGGGGCGGGGCCGCGCACAGCGGCGTCTCTGACTGGAGGGGGGCGGGGCGGCCCCTTGTGAGCCAATCAGTGCAGCGATCACATCCATGCAAATACGAGCACAATGGAGCGAGCCCATCACTCGCCTCTGCAAGCAAGCTTGAAATGGGTTTTTGCCTGAGCGGCAGCGAGACTAACCAATGATTTTGTGTTTGGGGCCTGCACGACCCAATAGCGAGGCGGAAAAGGTGGGTCTTAGGTGGGTTAGGGTGTCCTTGCAGGGTGTCTGAGCTAAACTTCACCAAATAATAGCTGTTTGTATTTTGGCTGCTGCAGGAGCCATTTTAGGTAAGTTCTTCTCTTAACTTTTTATTTTCCTCCCGGGCCTCGGCCGACCAGCCTTGTCAGCTGGCCTTCGGCCCCGCCCCGCCGGTCGGGCTGGGGTGCCCCTATGAATGGAGCTGGGATGAGGGGCTGCGGCGGCGCCGCGGCCCAGCCTGGCCGGGGTCCGAGCGGGGCCGGCGGACGAGCGGCCTGGCAGAGGGCAGGCAGTAGCCTGAGGCCTGAGGCAAGGGGCCGGCCTCCGCTGCGTCCTGCTCCTTCTGGAGCTTTGGCTGCTCAGACCGGGCAGCTGTCCTTGGAGTGCGCGCTGCGGGCCGTGCTCAGGGCGGGGGTCCACCGGACCCGGTCACGGGCCTTGCGGCGGGGCGGGGCGTGCGCAGGTCCCCCCGGGGCGGGCACCGTAGAACCCCCGAGGCCAGCGGCGTCTGGGAAGGGTGGGGTGACCGCTGTCCCCAATACCGTCCCCGCGGCCGCCCCCGCGGAGAAGTTGCTCCTTTCGCGTCCTGCGTCTGTTTGCAGGGGTGGAGGAGGGTGGGCTGGTGCCAGGTTGCTGCTCCGGGAGGGGCGAGGGCCCCTAGTGCGTCCTCAGTTGGCGCACCTCCTCTACCTCCTTCTTACGCACTAGCGAGCGCTCGGCCCGAAAATTGGAACCCTAAGGGGTCTAGCAGTCCCGCTGCCAAGTTTTGTGCACTGTTAGATTGTATGTTTAAGCTTGGAAATAAAAAGGGAAAAAAAAGAATTCGTGCCTTTCGGGGTAAATTTCCAGGGACATGCCTCCTAGCTATGCAGAGGGTTGGCAGCTTATTGGTTTTTAAAAAGATGTTATTAGGAAATCCCCGCACTAGTGAGATAATTGAAATTTGAGTTTGTTTGCAGCTTCAGTTTTATTTGATCCAATTAAAAATGCATAAGCAGGCACTTTGTGTACATAGAGTATTCCTAGTTTCAGTTATGACTAATATGACTGTGGTTTCACTAGTGTGGTATCTAATAAGGCAGTGTAATTCAATTTTGAGCGTGTAGACCTGTGTTCTCCAAATTAGGGTTTATGGACCATTAGTAATTTGGCCAAGGTTTCTAGTAGTGAATCTTTGGCCTCTTTGAGTGTCTTGTCTTTGGAGCGGTGTGTGCTGTATTTCTCACTCCTTAAAAACTGTTCATTTTTTCTGTGACAGATCTAGAGAAAAAAACCATGTTCAGTATTTGAAGTTTTCAGAGTGTCAAGAATATTTTGTCTAGGATTTCATTATTTCCCAAATGGTACATAAGAATGCCAACCTAGGCTGGAGGTTTAGCTCAGCGGCATAAGCGCCTGCCTTGAAAGCAGGCAGTCGTGAGTTCAATCCCCCCAGTACCGATAAAAAGGAAAAAGACAAAAAAAAAAAAAAAAAAAAAAAAAAAGGAAATTTAAAGAATGCCAACCTGTTAGTCTCCAAATTTCGACATATTTCTGGGGACCCACTCGTGGCCTTTGGAAAAGTTGGGACAGAGACCACACTGTCTCCATTCTACGGTAATTCATTTGGGGTTTTGTCCCAGTGATGGTGCATGGCACAATAATTCAACTGGAAGGTAAATTAGAAGGTCATGTTGGCAACCAGAGAGGTGGGGATTGTGGAGAGAAAGAGAGAAATTTGAGATTTTGTGAACTTTTTGGTTCTCAGGCAACAGAAAAGTTTGAGATGGGTGTATGATAAAATGATTAGGCATGAACTGTGGTAACACTGGTTATGCCAAACACAGCAGGTGGTTTCATCTAAGCAATACATCACTTTATCTGAAGGCCTGGGAAAATGGAGAGTGGCAAGATTATTAGTTTCAGAGTTCTTTCTGTCCCAAATTATTAATTTTGGAGTTCTTTATGTCCCAGGGCAGATTTTATGGGTAAGTTATGGTTCTTTTTGTATTTAGCAGCTTTCTTGGTGAATGTTCTGTTAAAACTAACCTGTACACATTTTTCCCCTCCCATTTTGTTAGTTTTGAAATATACCTGAAGTAACCAGACTTGGACGCTGTTATTGGTGCCCATGGGCAAAGTAGGTCTCTTGTGAAATTATTGTTGTGTTCAGTGTGATGTTACAGTCTCCGTAGAATCATGGTTTTTATTCTGTAGTTACTTCTGTGCTTTACACACTTAGCTTTTCTGCTAAAGCATCACAAATTCTTTTAATATGGTCATTTTCGTCCCCCAACTTTCAAATTTTCTGTATCTGCAGTTATTTTTATTATTACTTATTAGTATAGTTAGCACTTCTCTGCACCCATGAGTACTGTATATTATTTCAGGCAAAACCATATAAGAATTTGAAAGACCAGTGAGAAATGAAGTGGGAGTTAATCCTGCTCCTTTTCTTTGGCAGTTAACATTGTTGATTTTTTGTTTTGTTTTTTGATTACTTTTCTTATAACTGTCAAATACCAAAGACAATCTGAAGCAGAATTGTATGTTTTTTAGGAACCACATCAGTATTGCAGGAAGCTTATTAGAAACAATAAGCTCTCCGACTTCTATGTCTTGAAATTCTCTTTGGTTTGTAGATGTATGAAATAAATTTTTGGTTTTCATGGAAGGATAGTTTAGTCCCAAGCAGAGTTTGTGGTTATGTGTTCCTGGTGTTAAACCAAGAGGTTCCATTAAACTCATTTCATTCTCCCTATGAGTACTTTAAATTTTCAAATTTCATAGACTTTGTATTGCAGTGGCCAGATGTGTCACACGTGAACATCTGTTTACGTGTTCTGAACACCCTTGAACAGATTTTAGAATTCAGAGACTCTACCAGCAAAAGTGCACTTAGATACTGGGCTGTGACAGTGTCCAAGTCAACTGAAGAAGCTATCACTCTCCTTTCCCCGCTGCTCTGCTATAGCAAGTAGTTTTGTTTTTAATAAATATGTAGTGGGTCACCTATACTTCCATCTCTTGAAAAAGCTGTAGTTTAATTGAAGTGAAAAGTTGCAGTGAATTCCATGGCACTGCCTAATTCTCTTAAACTAGGTTGTTAAAAACTCTTTGACAGACATAGAATCATAACTAGGGGTTAGATATTTGTTCCCTAGAGAACATTTTTGTTTGCAGTGAAATGTGACATAATTGTGAGAAAAGCAAAAAAGAACTAGAATTGATTGAATAGTTGGTGGTGGGTTCAGCACTCAGCGAGGTATTGGAGCTACATAGATGAAAAAGTATCCCTGCTTTGATAGCCACTTCATGAAGCTAGACTGCAGCTCAGAAAAATGAGACCATAAAAATACTAAATGATAGAGCCTGAGTTAGAACCCAACTCATCTGGATGTCAAGTATATATTCTTTTCACCAGCCACTTTCTTTCCAGAGATTCCTTTAAAAACTCAAGTATGCTTATGTGTTTTGGTAGGCTGGTCCTAAGTTAATACATTTTTCTTAAGTTCTTTTATATATACATCCATTTCAAGAATTTGTCAACTAAATAGGGGTAGAGAAGGATGCTTTCCCCCATTTTCCTCTGGAGTACCCTTAGGGTTCAGGCGAAGCTTGACAGTTAATAACCATGTAGTGTAGAGAGAGAATGCAGTCACTTTTTTCTTGCCAAAATGTTCTTTCACATTGTGGAGGCGTTGATACCCTCATGAAAAACTCTGTTATTTCCATAAAAGTCCTGAAGGTAGTAAAATGAAGTTATTTTAAAATATCTATCCATGTTCCTATTTCTGAACAAAATCATTTGCATAAAAATTCCAGAGGAAGATGTTTATTTTTGCTGTAGTACCTGTAATTATTGGTTTAGTCCATTTTAGTGATTCTAAATGTCTACTTTAACTCTTTATATTTTTTGCATCATTGTTCTATTCTGGGACCTTGAGAATCTGATGTTATACATGATATAACTTAAATAGTTTATATTTTGAAAAATCAAGTTTTATTTTTTAATTGATGTTTTTTCTTTTGAGTCATAAGGAAGGACGTGTTATTTTAGCAAGGAATAAACCCTGCTTTTTCAACAGACTTCTATGATGCTTTTATCAGGAGAACTTAACATACTAAGACAGTATTTGAAAATTTCAGGAAAACTAGGAAGTAGGACTTTTTAACCATAGATACTAATCCAAACATACATAGAAAGTGATACTTGAATTTGAATTTTCTAAACAAGTGACGGTAGATTTCCATTTTTCTGTCCCTAAGATTCTGTAGAGAATGTTCACTAATATAATCTTGTGAATCAAATATGTAATTAAAATTTTAATACTTTGGATTTGGGGAATCTATATATTGTTTTAAATTCCATGATTGTTTTATATAAAAAGGCAGGCTCCAGGTCAAAAGGAGGTGTAATTATTACAAGTTTAAGGCTGCTTGGGCTACTTGAGAATACCAGGCCTGCCTGGACTATTAGCAAGACTTTGTTTCAAAAAAAAAAAAAAAAAAAGATGTAATCAATGTGGTAACATTGATCATTAGTTCCTATCTAGTTATTTAGTTAGGTTCAGGCTTCTAAAAAATTCTGGGACTCATGGATCCCCAGGGAGTCCTTTGGCTGGTCTGTGAGTGCTACAAATTGTATAGCAAATTTTGTTCTGTGTTTTTATAGAATGAGAATCCACTGTTTTTTGTGATTTTTTTTCCCCTCCCCAAACCATTACCCTATCAACATCCCTTTGTACTAACATACAATAAAAACAACAAAATTGAGAATCATTGATTTAGATCACTCCAAAACAATTTTTATAGGAGTATTTGCCCTTTAGCAAGTCCTGCAGTTTCAGCCTCATAGAGGGTCTACCTGATCTTGGGGAAGTACTTGTCTGCATCCCTC